TTCTCGTGAAAACACCCACCGACGACGTTTCTTCCTTTCGAAAAAAAAAAAAAAAACTCGCCTTAAATTATCTTCGTCAAAGCAAACGATGATTACATTCGTAAAAGTCACATCGTCTCGTTTAAATGTGAAATTCTCCTTTCCCTTTCTTCTGAGGAGAGATCCGACTGCTCCGCGTCGGTCCGCCGGCGAGCAGTGACACGCGACTGGCAGTGGCACGTGCTTCGAAGCGGTGTAAGAGCCTACCTCCGGGCGTAGGATCGGCGCGTAAGTCTCGAGGAAGCTGCGTCGCGACGGTGAACCGCGGCGACCGGACGGGTTCTGTCCGTGGCCTCTGTCAACGGCCGTAGGAGACGGTACAGAGCGTCGATATGGATTTTCGCGTGTACCTGGACCCGACGAGGGCAACTGCCTGCTCTACAATACGTGCACAACTAGGGGGAGCATGCGCCACCATTATATCCTCTCTCTTCTCCTCTTGTCTCTCTGTTTTATCTCCGGTTCAACTCACTCTCTACTGCTGCTCCATAAGAGTTGCTTCGTACTGCGCCCTGTTTGCACCTGCCTTGTCCACGTTTGCAGAAACTCCTTCGAGTTTCTTTTTTTTTTTTTTTTTTTTTTTTGGAAGAGGAGGGAGGGGAATTTTCGGGGGAGTATACTTTTGTCTGTTTGTATCAATCAGTTCAGTTTTCTTCTTTCTTTTCTTTCTGTCTTTGTAAGTTTGTTCACTTTCTTTCACTTTTTTTTTACTTGATTTTTTTTTGCTTTTCGTTTAGTTTTAATGAATTCGACCTTGGTTTAGGGTGAGTGATTGGGGTTCTTTTGTCTTTATCTATTCGATTTTTATCCTCGCAAGTTTGGTATGTATTATGTTTTGTTTCGTCTGTCTTTTTTTTGTGATTCCTTTTTTTTTTTTTTTTTTTTAGGGAGAATCGTGTACTGTTGATTGGTTGTTCTCTGGCATAGATGACCAGTGTTTCGTTGATTTTCTTTTCGTTTTTTCTCCCTTTGTAAATTCGTTTACATCCCTTTTTTGTTTTTGTTCTTTTTTTTTTTTTTTTTTTTTTTTTTTTGTTAGTTTGGTCTTAATGAAGTTGAGCTTGGTTTGGGTTGAATGATCGAGATATCACGTTCCAGTTGTATATCTATGCATCAACTCATTCTTCATTCTCATAAGATTGGTATGTAAATATTACACTTTGTTTCACTTGCCTCGTCACGCTTGCACCATTTCAGCTCCAATTTTCTTCTTCTTCTTTTCCTTCTTTTTTGGAGAATCGTTTATTCCTCTTTGATTATATTTTCGTTTGTTTTTCTGGTATTCTATTCTTCTATTCTTTTAGGTTCCTGTTATTTTTCTCTCTGTAAAATCGTTTACATTACTTTCATTTTTTATTCGATTAGTTTTATTTTTATGATTATTTAAATGATTATGATAATTTAGTTCTGAAGTTTGAATGCAAAAAATTATTAACAAAATTGAGAAATTTTAATTTTTTACAAAACAGAAAACATCATTAATAATAATATATTTAAATTTTCTTTAAGAATAAGGAATATAATTATATTGCAAAAGAACAATATTTAATTAAGACATTCAATAATGAATCACAATAAAAGTTGTATAGAAAACATTTTTGTTATTTAATTGTAAATATTGTAAATATTTATAATCAAATAATTAAATGTTGATTCAAAATTTTCAATTGATTATTTTATTTTGAGCTAATGCTGATATAAAACTTATATATATAAAAACTTGAGGATTTTATCTGGCACTTTATACCTCATTTAACGTATTTTAATATCTAGTTAATGACCATCTCTTTAACAAAAGCATTCTTTAACAAGATTTAAAGGATTTAAAAGCATCTTAAATCATCTTATAATAACTAATATCAAATTAATATTTTACATAAAAAAAAAAAACCTAAGTCTTTTCTTATTCAAAGTATGATTAAAAATGCTTTCTTTCCACGTTTTCCATTTTGATACAATTTTCCACACATATCTCTCTCTCTCGCACACACACGCACACGTACAAACACACAAACACATTTCCTTTGTATCATTCTTATGTTTTTCTATTATACATACCTTCATTTATATTCTACCTTTACATTCTCTTTATTTCTTATTCCTTTCCCAATTCTATTTCATATTTTTTACCCACCTGTGTGTAATACTTAATTTTCTTCTTTTCAGCACGTTAACGGGACGTTTCACGTTTAAAAAAAATATTGAAAGAGGTCTCGTCTGTAGAGATCAATACTCTTCTGACCGCAATATTTTTCGAATTAATATAGGAAGAAAGGAGTAAACGTGGTTCGTGATCCAGATTATAGTCGATCTTCCTTTTGGCAAACAATGTCCATCGTTGGGGATGGTTAATCAATTTTTTTTCTCGATAATATTTGATTGTTTGCTGAAAGTACAATCATAATAATTAACAACGATCGATTGAATCAGCTTCGATTTTTTCAGTTAAATATTAATCACCGCTGTACGAATAACCATTATCACGTTGTATCAACGTTAATCGTTATCTTTAATTATTAATTAGATCGGATTTCGCTTAAATTCGTCGAGGGATCAAGATTGAATATTGATAAATGAATATTTGAAATTGTTGTATTTCAATTAAAATGTTCAAACTTACTTAAAGACTCCAATTAAGGATTATTATTCTTTTCACCAAAGTATTCGTTTCTTCTTCGCACACTTACAAAGCTTTTCTTTTTCTTTTTCTTTTTCCACGAGTCGACTGTTCACCTCGATTTCTTTAATATCTGGAAACAAAATGATCGGCCAGGATCAGTTAGAGATCAATAATATTATTAAATATCGGGCACGCGGATCAACGTGGATCAACATCTGTCTTTCAACAATTGAGAATTTCTTCGATGGAAAAAGTTTCCTAATACCCGTTTCTATATACGTGACTTCTTTAATCCAGAATGACGCTTCGAATCTTTTTTTAATTTCATAGGGTTTATACAATTCTTACTACTTAAGGTTAATTAAGATCGTGATGTGGTTTTGGTTTCATTGATAGATCGTTAGATTGAAAGTAGTATAAAATAATGACAAGATTTACGAAGATATTCAGAAAAAGATAGATTAACGTACTTTGAAATTCTAAATTAATTTTTCAAAAAAAAAAAAAAAAAAAAAAAAAAAAAAAAAAAAAAAACAATAAAATCATGAACAATTCACGTCACGGTTAAAAAAGTAAATTTTAAACGAAAAATCAAAGCGGGCGGTCGGTGAAACAATTTTTCAAACGACAATATTTCCAGTTACTATTTTCGCATCCGTATTCGAAATGAATTCTCATTTTGAGACCAGCTCACCCTTGGACTTTTGCTACGAATGAATAAAATGCAGCGTTCAAAGCGACTGAAAAATTTATATATAGAACAATCCCTCCATAAATTTTTTTCTTTCTTTTTTCCTTTTTTCTTTTTTCTTTTTTTTTTTTTTTTTTTTCGTAGGAGGTAAAAATCACAAGTGCTTTTTCTCTTCTTCCATTTCGATCCATCCTGACACGGTAATGTATCGCTATTGGCTGGCAAAAAAATCGGTCGGTAAATATCTTTAAAGGTACGTCGAGAGAGAACGATAAAAGACGCGATAAATGCGTGGTATCTTTATTTAAGAAGAAAGGGAGAATATTTTTTTTTTTTTTTAATTGAATTTTGTTTGTCGTGCACAAGGTGAAGAGAAAAATTGCAATGTTACGTCTTCTTCTCAATTCTTGTATTAAATCGTTCGCATAATGTATTTGTTCGAATAGTTTTAATCTGTTAAATGGGCCATTTCTTGATTGGAAATTTCTTTAGAGAGAGGAGGGTGAGAAGTTGAAGCGATGTTAAGAATTAAAATTACTACGTTAAAAGTAATTTCTAAATAAATAATTATTTTCGGAATATAATCGAATTATTGTTTATTTATTTTTTTTTATAAAAAAAAAAAGAGGTTAATGATTGATAAGAAAAATTTAATTTAGTTACATCTAGTTACTTTTTCTGCCTGAAGTTAGTTACACATGTATGAAGTCGTCTTGTTATTTATGTGTTGAAATTTTGTTTCGAAGGGACTTGTTATTGCGACAAATTGATCGAAATTATTGCAATTCGGATTAAATATGAAGAAAATTTAGCTGGAAACCTTGTATTTTCACAATCAACAGATATCGATAATATTAAATTTCAACGAAACGAAAATCGTATTATGAGTTGGAATGAGATTAATTGGAAACCAACCAATATATTCAAAATTAGAAACTGCTCTGATTACGTATTGATATCAATATCATCAAATACGTTTAAAAGATCAAAAGATATCGCATATATATAAGCATTATTTTAATTTTAAATCAAATTATACTTTTAACGTGTAACAATGTGACACTTCTAATGTGACAGTTCTTCTTAACCTATAAATAACAATTTAAAAAAAAATCAATTTAAAATTCGAAAAAATCTTACATTCTTTGATAATTTTTTATCAGATAAAATAAAATTTTTTCAAATAAAATTTAGATAGATAATTAAATAAATGACATGTATGTTCTTTCATTTAAAAAAAATATATATATAAGAAAAAATATTCTTTATAAAATTCTTCTAAATCATATACCTAAGAAGAAATATCTTTAGTCATATAATAATTTTTAAAAAGATAACTCATGATGCATTATGCAAACTATTTATATCATGTTATGCATTTATTCTACTCGTTCCATCCTTAATGCGATGTCATAGAATACGGAAAACAAGACAGACTATGTTAATGTTATATTTTTAGCGTGCTCAACAATGAAAGTTCTAGATGACGCGGAAGATAACTCGAAAGATGTAATGTAATGTCTTTGCTTATTGAAAAGCTTTATATATCGTCAAGGGTCGAGGGAATAGAGTTCATAAAGGTCTTAAGAAAATTCTATTTAAAAATATGTATGATAAATATGATTAGAGACGTTTACCTCATGAAAAAAATTCTCAAGATTTTTTTCCAAATTTTTTAACATTTTTCAAATCACGTATTTTTTTTTTTTTTTTTTTTTAGAAGGAAATATATTTATTATACGAAGCATAAAAAGACAAATTTTTTTGCTTTTTGAATAAAAAAGTTTTCTAAGAGTTTTCCGAGTTTCATTTTGAAATTTTTGATTTCCAAACGACATGTAATACTAGTTTAAAACATTCAACTTTCGTGTATAAAATGAATATTCGCACCTTTCTAAAGAATTAAAATAAAATTGATTTTCCAAGTGCTCTGTTTAACTCGTTTTCTTCCTTTGACTTTATTCCCTCGACCAATATAAAAGAAAAATCGATAAATACGCGCTACGTCTCTCGTAAAGAATCGATAACGTTAAAATTAGAAAAAAAAAATATTTACTTTCATTTTTCTTTCAATCTTCGATTTATCAAAAAAAAAAATATATAAAAAATTATTATTACGAACGCATAACGACTTCGAATATCTCGTAATTAAAACCTTCTTTGTCAAATTTTCGAAATAATGTGAAAAAACTTATATCAATATATATTAATTGACAAAAAAAAATTTGCAAATATTTTCATACACACACACACACACATACACACAAATCGTAAAGATGTCATAGTGTTTTCTCTTTGTCGATTTAATGCTATTATCCTTTCAAAATTGAAATGAATTCTCCTCGAGTATCTCTTCTCTCCTCATTTTCCTATCAATCTTTCAGTATTTGCATCGTGCAATGAATATTGCCCGAGAGACAAATTAATCTCGAAATCTATTAAATTCCAAGCATGATTGTATTTATTCACGGCGTAATAATTAACGCGACAAGGGAGAAAAAGTTGAGATATAAAAATAAAAATGAGAATTCTGCGATTCTCTCTCCGGAAGGAGTAAAATTTATTCGTTATCCGGGATTGGGTTGGTAAAAATATCGATAAACACAATTCTTCTAACAGGTGAGAGAAAATTTCTCGTACGATACGCGATATATCGAAATATTCGTTCGTTATATTACCAATTCGCAATAATATTGAATTAATAAAGATTTATAATATGGAAAAATTCAATTCGTTTCTTATCGCTTGTCTTATCGATGCAAATTGAAACAAATTGTGAATTATTTTATACAATTAATTCTTACGTTCAAATTCCATTTATCTGCATAAATTTACATTTCAAACTTAGAATTTCATTAATATATTGAGGTTAGAAATTTTGATATGATCGAAAATTTTAAATATCGAGATATTGTCGTAATATTATTCAAATATATACATATTTCTAATGTTGTAAAAGTTTAGAAGATGTTTAAAAAGATAAGAATAAAAATGTGTCAGAATGGCTAATATCCTCCGATTAAATAATTTCTGGTTTCGTATTAACGCAGGTATAATATTTAACCGTAATTCAGCTTTCCAATGGACGTTAATCTGATTAAAATGGTAATTCGTGGCTTATGTGTTAAATAGTTGATTACACGATTAAATAATTTTCAAAACGTATATAAATTTAATTAATAAGTAAAATTTGCTAGAGTTGGATACTATTATTTTTAACCTCTTTGAAAATTAATTTATCCATATTTAATTCGATTGCAAATCGAAACTTTCAATCGACAAACGATTTACTCGTTTCAATTTTTAAGTAGATTAAAAAAAAAAAAAAAAAAAGAAACGAATTTGAAATTGTGTACTTCAAACTTTAACTTTAAATATCTCAAAAAATTCTGTTGCAAAATTGTAGACGCGTCGTGTTACATTTATCAAAAATGTAAAATAAAAGAGAAAAAAATAAAAGTTTTTAATAGTTTTCTAGTTTTCTAGTTACAGAAATTCTTCAATTGTTTCTCCATTTTAAATCTCGTTACCAAAATTGCATGTTTCAAAGAAAAGAAATATATATATTTCTAACCTTTTTCACAAAAAGAAGAAATAATATCCCAATTATAAAATCTCCTTCCCTCTCATCTTTCTTTTTCACATATTTTTAAACGCAAAAATTTACATATTTTGAACATCACAAA